AGGGGAGTGAACTGGGGGTTTAAGCATGCTAGGCAAACTATCTCTGAGCTACGTCCCCAACCCACAGTAGCTATTAGCTTTTATACAGAACAAACTGGTATGGGCTGAAGGGAGGTAAAAGAAATGAAACTGAGCAATGATTCAAGCAAAAGAAACAGTGTGCTTTTTTGGAACATCAAGAAAATGAAGTACATGTTTCTAAAATAAGGGTACCTAAAGAGCCCCCCAAAAGGAGGTCAATATTGTGAAAGCCTCTGTAATACTTAATTTAAACTATGATGAATAGAGAAAAATGTCTCTATAACAACAAAGGGGTGGCATTCATCCTTTGCAAGTTTCTGTCAATTTAAATGTGTTAAAGCACTATTACCAGAAATAAGCTATTTTTCCCTCAGACTTTCAGTGTACCTTTGAAAAACAAGTCCTTCAATATCAGTTCTCAACTGACACCTGCTCTTTTCATTTTTCAAATCTCAGTTCCATGAATGATGAAGGAAGAGAAAATTCAAATATATAAAAGTGCTTCATAGGTACTACCTCAAATTGGCCAGACCTGTTCTTCTCTTGTAAGAGAAAGATTGCACAGGATGAAGGAAATGTGACCTCTTCCTTGTTTTTACCTAGATACCCTCTATACAGTGCTTTTCCAACCACATGGGATCTTGCTTCCCTACAATCACATACTCTATCCATTGCACTGCAGTTGGTATTTCCTTATATATTGTAGAGTGGGAGAAATATGACTGATCAAACCTAATGACCAAGGGTTTTCAAGACAGAGGACAGCCTTATACTAGAAGGAGAAAGGGGTGAGTATCTTTTTCGCTATCTCCTATCCTACCTCTCCCAACACCAGAAAGAACTCTTCATAGCTATGACCAGAGTTGGATTTCCAGAGATCAGTCCCTTCCACCTAGGTACCATTCCTCCCTCAGCTAACCCAAGGATCTTTATACTTAGAAAAGAAATGGCAGTTTTCATAAGTTCATCATCATCAAACCCTTTCTCTTCTCTTTAAGGCATTCTCTCAAAAGAACAAAAGGAAAGTACACATAAGACACGGTAAAAGAACTTATTCTATTACTCTGTTTTTGCCAAGAACTGTGGTTTGAAACCTTTAAAAGGCCAAAGTACTAGTCCTTTTTTTTTATTTATTTAAATAATATTTCCATATATAATCAGTGCTGCAAAATAAGGTCTTTTGTTTCTTTTGTTTTGTTTTTCAGTGCTGAGGTTCAGACCTAAGGCTTTATGTAACCTAGTCAAGTGTTCTACCATTGAACTTCAACCCCAACCCACAGAAGGCATTCTTCAGATTGCTGTGAAGAAAGCTCAACTCAACTTTTACTCTATATTATTTATATCATGGGGGAGAAGGTCTCCTTGAAGCTGACCCAATATAAGTGTAAACGTAACTGAAAAACCATTAAAGCTTATTTACTTTACTAAAACAGAAGTTTTGTTATTTCCTGAACTTCCTATTCTGTCATCTTTCCTAATTACCCCTTTCATTTCTTGAATCAAAAGAACAGTTGAATAAAGGGATTTTTGTTTGCCTAATATATAAATTTCTTGGATGAACTATTACTATGAACATACTTTCACCACGTTTATGTTTTTTGTTTTGTTTTCTTTTTTGTTTGCAGTACTGAAGTTGAACTCAGGGCCTCTCGCTTGCTAAGCAGGCAATCTACCACTTGAGCCACTCCACCAATCTCTTTAAATACAACTTGAAGTACTTTATTCTTCATCAATTAGATATTCCCATTCATTACGTTATTCAAATACCTAATTTTAGAACACCAAAACACTTAGGATTTTTTTTTTTTTCTCCAAGCGATTTTTTAAAGTGACAGAGCTGGGCTCGGTGGCTCAAGCCTGTAATACTATCTACTGAGGAGGCCAAGATCAGGAGGACAGTAGTTTGAGGGCAACCCATAAAAGTCCACGAGGCCCTCTCTCAACCAATGGCTGGGTGTGGTGATGTGCGCCGGTCATCCCAGCTATGCCAGGAAGCACATATGGGAGAATCATGGTCCTGGCCCAGCCGGGCATAAAGCGAGAGCTAGCGCAAAAATAACCAACACCAAAAGAACAGACAGAGTGGCTCATGTAGTAGAGCACGAGACTGGCAAGCGGAAGGCCACTGAGTTCAACCACCAGAACCACAAAAAAAAAAAAAAAGGACAGAATATTTACACTTCAATAATCACTACTTATCTATGAAGAATACAAAATTTTGACAACTTGTATCTAGAAGCTTCCAACGTTTAGTTCTAGCTTGGTCAGCAAGAAGTAAATCTCTACTAATTAAGAACATTTAATTTATTATAGTGGCCACGCGGTAGGCACATCACAACCACTTCCAGCAAAAAAATCAGATATCTGAGTGGTTCTAATACAAGGGACTTTATCTGATCTTTACAGCACTCTATGAAGTGTTTTATTTTAACGATGAGAATACTGAGACTTTGAAGAAGGTAATATGCAGGGGCAGATCTAGAATTCACACCCAGGTTGGACTGTCTACAAAGTCAGAAAAGCTAAGTCGAAATTTCATCTACTACACAGAAAATATACAAGATTTATAAGGATGTTAATAAAAATAATCTTTGTTATTTCTTAGTAATGAATCTCAGGTGGGCTTTTTAGCCTTCCTTTTTGTCCTTTGATATATTATTTGAAGTTCTTACAATGAGCAAGAATGTGTTTTTTTCTGAAGAAAAGAAGAAGTTGGTGGGGGGGGGGAGCACCAAGACAAAAAAACCCTTTGTTCTTATATTTTGAGACCCTCAAGATAGTATTCCCATATTCAAGAGGGTTAAGAAGATACTGGGCTGGTGGATACTAAGGTAGGAAGGTAAGAAGGAATAGAAGGAAGTGTTTCTTGACAAACCCACACAGAAGCCACATGGTAGGTAACCCAGTCTATCATGCTTCTCTTAAAGCGCAATCTACCAAGGTATTTATGTCTTTGTCCTGAAGACCCTCACTATGAATTTATCTTGAGGAAAAGCTATGTATGTATCAGAACTCATTCATGGCAGCATTACCTATAAAAAGAAAAAACTGAAAACAACCAAAAAGTCCAAAGTTAAGTCCTATCAATACGTTATGAAACTCAGAGAGAACCAGAGATAATGATAATTATATGGAAATAGAAAAATAAAGGGCGCACCATCACAATGTTTCTTGTATTTTTTTTAGTTACCTTTTTGTTCAATTTTCTCCATTTTAAAGCTAAAAATAACTTAAAGTATTTTCTTTAAGGAGAAGTGATGTCACTGACCACAGGAAGTAGTCTATAGGAAGAAATCACTGTGGGTAGTATGATGAACTGAGAAGTAACAACCATTTTGTGGCTATAAAAAAGTACATACTAAATGCCTTACAACTTATAAGGACAGCAGGTTTTTATAAATGAAACCTCATATTTGGTGCTAAGGAAACCTATATAAAGATAGCTGGACCTGCAATTTTTAAAAAAAGGCCATCTCAAATGGAATAAAGGTAATTTATATTACCCCATAGTGAGGTACCCACCTTACACTGTGCCAGTACCACACTTGAGGCATACGAGCTTCTGCTTTACCAATAAATACAAGATACTGGGAAAGTTATTTGTAGACTATAATCTAAGATCCTTTCATAACCTTTTACTGCAAGAAGAAAAGAATACCGACCAAGATAAAACAGATATGTATAAAGAACAAGAATAGAGTATTTTAGTATAATTAAGATAGGCTTACAGCTATTCATGATAAAGAAGAAAAACAAATACAGTGTCAGAAGATTCTAAAAATACAAAAATTCTGTAAATATTGTTTTTTTAACTTCATTGTCAGTTCGAAGTGAAATATGCTTTAAACTACCATGCACCTAATCTTTAACTGAAGAAACATGTGATAACAGTGACTAAATAGAACAATGAATAAATAAGGGGTTTTTCCACTGGTTGTGAAGACCTTAAAATCTACCTTTTCTCAAAATTCTTTATTTTCTTTACAGTCTATTTTAACTACTGCTTTTCACTGGAGAATGGATAAAGCAGAAGAAAAACATGAGTATGACAAGAAAATGATGAAATGGATTTCTGATGTGTCTTGAAGAAATGAGTATAAGATGTTCGTAGTCATATCCTACATTAGGGCCTAGAGAGAACCAGAAGGAATCAAATTTCTCACAATTCCAGAAGACAAATGATTTACATAAGATGGGCATCTACGTGGTAACTCTTCACAGTTTTCAGATATTTAGGTACTAACCCAGAGTGGATATTTCTACAGGTAATTTGTATTTCAGTATTTAAAATATCTTTGAATATCTAAAAAAGTCTTATAATCCATAAAAATAACTATCTGTAATGATGAATGCAACATCAACATCTATTCTGAATTTATATGTGCAATACTGGGAAGTCCTAATATTGTTAACCTTGGGACTTTCTGCCTAATGCATAACTCAAAATATTTACATACTTCACGGCATTTTCCTGTGTTTTAGCCTCAGACTACGAAAAGGATAAGTGACTGCTCTTAGGTCTTTGTTGTGATACTTCTTATAGTAGGGAAGTGATTTTACGATAACAAAAGGAAACCCTTTTATATGAAGCTTTCTGAAGTAGTTTTTAGAGGTAGATTTACTAACTCTCATACTTCCTTGCAGTATACCTGGACTTAAATGAATTATCCAGATTCAGCTGAGGATTCCAAATGCGCAGCCCCCAGAGATTTAAAATCTGGTTTCTAGTTTCATGCCATAACCATGATCTCAGCTACCTAAAACATGCTTCGTCCAGACTTTACTGATTAAATCAATCAACCTTGATTATTATGGGTAGCTGAACCCAGGTTAAAAAAGAAAATCAACTTTAAATACATTCCACAAGGCTTTACAGAAGCAAAACAAACAAAAAACAAAAAAAAAAAAATCACAATTATTAAAAAGCTGATTTTTGCTTAAAACACCAAGCAAGGAATTGACATATGAATATTCCTAACCTGCAAAATGATTCCTCCACATTATATCAGCGAAACTCATTGGTGGGCCACTGGGAGGGTAGTGTTTACCTTTCAGAGGCTCATGATCAGTCCTTATCATATCCATTAAGGAGTTCTCCAACGAGTGCAAGTTAAAAGTGTCATAGGGCCTACTCCGGTCCTAAAATAAAAATATAGAACAAGACAATAAATAAAATTACTCTATAAAATTAATATATTATTTGTTTCCTGCGGCAGACTGATAATATGAATGAAAGTTACAGACAGTTCTAATAGCACAAAGTCATTCTTTTCAGTAAGAACAATGATTTGACACCATTAAGTTTAGGACAAGTTTCCATAATTCCATCCTTTCTCTTAATAGTCTATAATGTAAATGCCCCACTGTTTCAGACTGACTTTCTCTCAAATGGTCTAAAAAATAAATTGAAAAGAGTCAAGTGAACTGGCTTTGCCCTCTCCCTTCCACCTATTGCTTCCACTGTCAAGTGAATAGATTTCTCATCTTCCAGGATTAAAAACTCCCATCTACAAACAGAATTGCTTTTCTGAAAAATCAAAAGATGATGGGAATTTCAAGGTAACTGTAATGAATATCTTTAATATTTACCCTCCATCCTTCCACATGATACTGTTTAAAAATAAAAATAAAAATGGGGTGGGAGAGGGATGGCAGCATGGCTCAAGTGGTAGAGCACCTGCCTAGCAAGCTCAAGGCCCTGAGTTTAAACCCCAGCACTGCAAAAATGAAGAAAAAAAGATAAACATACATCTCAGTAAAATCAATCTCCAGTTATGAGATTATTTTCAGCACTTCCAATGGCCAACACTCATCAGTTATCTGTCTCTACCCTTGGACAGGAAAGAGACATGTAATATTTTCTTTAGTTCTCCAATTTTGGTTTCTATATAATTAAGGAAAGTCTTTTCTTTCTGCAGATAGATTGTTTTGCTTTGAGTCCACTTTATCAGTGGAAACTCTAATTAGTTAAGGAATAAAGCTGAATTTCTAGAAATGCAGGTTTATCTGTCCCCATAAGAAGCATTATATTCTTTGTCCAAAGAAAAAGCCAGAAATAAAGAAGTATGCTGAGGAGGAGGCAAAATAGCAACCTACTCCTGGTACTGACAATACCAGAATGAGTATTTAAGAACCTATAATCACAATGCACTTCTAACTATTGCCCTGTAGACATGAGGCCACTTCAGAACAGGCTGTCAAGGGAAGGGAATGGTAAGAAAAGGCTGTTTGTCTGGGTGTGGTGATGCATACCTGTAATCCCAGCACTCAGAAGCTGAGGCAGAGGACTGAAAATTTGATGCCAGCCTGGGTTACATACCAAGATGGTGTCTCACTCTACCTTACCCCTCCAAAAAAGCCTGTTTGATGGCATCCAAAAATCTTTCTAGTCAGGTCAGTCTATTTTCTCATTTAATTCTTGATATAATGTTACAAGGTAGGTAACAATATACCAATTTACATAAGGAAGGTGAGGTTTAGAGATAATTAAAACCCAGATCTAAACCCAAAGCCAATACTAAACAGTATAAAAATCTGTCCAAAGAAGTTGACCCCGCCTGGTGGAGTGGCTCAAGTGGTAGCATGCCTGCCAAGCAGGGTCAGGCCCTGGGTTAAAACCCTAGTATCACTTAAAAAAAAAAAAAAAGAAAGAAAGAGGAAAGTTGACCCAATCCATGAGGCAGTAAATGAAAACTTCTATAGAAGAATAGTATTGCATCTAATTACTGATGAAATGACATTCTTGGCAAGGTGGTAGTGAGTTCTTGTCACAAGAGGGTATCAGAGATTAGATGGCTACTGTCAGGAAGGTGATGGGGGAGGGGTTCATGTATCAAAATTGAATTGGTCCTCAAACCAGTCAAATTGTCAAAATCACATGTAGTTCTAGTTAAAACACAAGTTCCTGGGCTCCAGCTAAAACTCACTTACTCGTAAATTTAAAAGAAAGAATGATCAGGCATATATGTTGGCCCACACATAGTAATCCCAGCTACCTAGAAGGCAGAGATAGGAGAATCCCAAGGCCAGTCCCCAAGGGCAAAAAGCAAAACTCTACATGAAAAACAAACTAAAGTAAAATGGGATAGGGGAGTGGTTCAAATGGTAGAGTGCTTACTTAGTAAGAGCAAGACCCTGAGTTTAAATCCCAGTACCACCAAAAAGGGGGAAAAAAAAAAAGACAAAAGAAATGTTCCAGATGATTACTGAGAGCCACTAGACTAGACGATTCTTCAAGTTAAGATTTTACACTCATAATTCTGTTCAGTAAACTCAGGCATTAAAGTGAGTTCAGGGACTATAAGGACAGCAGAAAGCAATATACAAGCCTAGCCACTTTGCAGAGGGTCAGCTATGAAGTTTTCTGATGGTGCCTGAGAAAGGCAGTTGGTAGCTTTGCTTTTCAGTTTTGTTTGTTTTGTTTTGGTGGAACTGGGGATTATTTTCAAATTCTGGCTCTCCTTCTTACTAGTATGTCATTTTGAAGAAGTTTGTAAGCATTGGTTTTGTTAATTTATAAAGTGGGAATGATAATTCTCTCTTTCTGGTTATTTTCAGTACTAAATGACAGAATGTATAACAAGGAATCTGCACCATGGTACCTACTCTAATAGCAGGAAGTATACAAAAAGTCTTCTGTGATGCCACATCAGAGTACCAGACCACTGATTTTAACACATAGAGGGGTGGGGGCATGGCTCAAGCAGTAGAGTGCTAGCCAGGTGCAAGTGGCTCATGACTGTAATCTTAGCTACGTGGGAGGCAGAGATCAGAAAGACTGCAGTTCAAGGCCAGCCTGGGCAAAAAGTAAGACCCTATCTCAAAAATTTCCACCACAAAAGAAAAGGCTGGCAGAGTCACTCAGGTGGTACAGCACCTGCCTAGCAAGCACAAGGCCCTGAGTTCAAATCTCAATACAGTAAAAATAAATAAACAAATAAGTAAAAGCAGTAGAGTGCCTGCCTAGCCAGTGCTAGGCTCTGAGTTCAAACCCCAGTGCCTAAAAAATAAATTTAAAAAAAACCCTAGACGTTTATGGATATTAACCTAAAAAGGTTCACAAATGCTGAACAAATAAAAACATACAACAGGTGAATGTGAAAGGCATGACAGAATTTGCAGAAGTTTCTTAATTGAACTTCACTACTCTAAAAGAGAATTATTTTCTCATTAAAATTCTAGTCGCGCCTCATCAATCTATTTGCTGCATGCCATGCATTCTTTTTAGTAAACAATGCTGAAATAACTGATTAACCAGAAAGCCAGCAAGAAATAGAACAAGGAGGACAGAAAAACAGGAAAGTTTGTAATGAAATTCAATGGAAATTATGCATAGAGAAAACCAAGCTACAATTTATCAATCACAAAAGTCACAAATGCCAATTTGCCTGTTGACTCTCTTTTCATAAGTTTTGTTCCCTACTCAAGGAAAAAGGAAAATACCTTTTTGTTTGTTTGCTTTTAACAAACTAATACTAGGAAGTATTAGAATATCCATAATGTCTGGTAACTGACTTTTATTCTTTAAAGATAGCCAAATGACAAATATTACCAGTTAGTTCTATACAGAAGCAGCTTGCCCCCAATGCATAAGCCTTGCCCTCTTTCTTCCCCTAGCTTGACTTAATAAATTTATCAAATATTTTAAACTACCTCAAAATGAAAGGTAACTTTTGTTCCCTTCTTATAAATTAAGCAAGTAAGTCTTGAGCAGATTATTACAGGGATAGTGAGTGACAGAGTTGGGGCTGGAATTCAGTCAAATTTAGATGTGCTCTTAAGGAACTTCATGGTACTGGCTACCCTGTCTTCCTCCTATTCTCTTTTACAAAGAGCACCCCCCCCAACTCCTTTAACCTAATCCTACCCAATCCGGAGAGGCCTCTTTGACCTAGCCCTGCCAACCAGGTAACCTGACACTTACTTGCTCTTGGTCAATTACCCTCCTTCAAGTGACAACTAGTTAACCTCAAGGAGCAGTTTTTGATCTACACCACAGTACAGCCCCAGCTATATGCCACCTGCCCCATTCCATTTATAGACCTTGTTCTTGGGAAAAGAGTCCAGGACCCTTTTACCTTTCTGGCTTATATTCAGGCATTTCCTCTCCTAGAGACTCGAAGTAGAAGGTAACAGGGGCCAACACCACCAGAAGAAACAAAAAGCTCTGGAACTAAATGATAAAATAGCTGTGGTGATTCTAATATGCTAGAGTAAGTGATCTCAGTCATGACTTTTAGCCATGACTATGATCCTTATCACCACTCCACAAGGTAGGTATTCTCTCAGTATCACAGAGGCAAAATTGAAGCTCACAGTGATTATATAACTGCTCGAAGTCACAAAGCAGTCAGAAATCAGGATGCAAACCCACCTGTGATGCTCACATTCGTGCCAGTAACGTCCCAATGTTTCTACACTAAGTTGTGGGGCGCCCATGAACACTGAGAACTCAGTTGGGAAGAAACAGACACAGAGAGTACCAAAAATTAAAAGGTGGGTAGATAAAGGGCTAGGAAAGGATAAATGTGGTCATAATTCAGAAAAACAAAAAAGAGGAATTCTGGAAGAAAGGGGTTTTTTTGTTATCATATGATGTCAACATATGTGGATGAAACAGTTTAAAGTTAAATACATCTAACACATAAGAGAGGACTACCTTTTATTCAATATGTTATTTGAAAAGCTATTTATACTATAAACAGACAGTAATATATGCCTTATCTCTTTTCTCTCTCTCTTTCTGTGTGTGTGTGTGTGTGTGTGTGTGTGTGTGTGTGTGTACTGGGGTTTGAACTCAGGGCTAGCCCAGGCTGTCCTTAAATTCATGATGCCTCAACCTCCCAAGTGCTGGGATTACAGACGTCCACTAGCATGCCCAGTTTGGTCTTACCTTGGACACTTATTACATGATTAATAGATGAACTTACTCTTCTCAAACACACACACAGAATACTACAAAAAAGCCAAAGTCTCCAATCCTGCTTTCTCAAACTTTGGATCATTAAAACATCTGGCACGTCCTCTTGCAAATGTTTCAAAATACAGTTGGCCCTCCCTATCTGTGGATTCGGCATCCATGGATTCAAAAATATAGAGTAAAAATATTTGAAAAGAACTCCATCTGTATTTTCTTATTAT